CAGAGTTCTGTAGGTTTTTTACAGATTGTCAATGATGAGACCAGGCATCAGAACCGTCTAGTTGACCTTTGTCGGTTTGTTGGATAATACCCACCACAGCAGAGCAGAACTTTAGATCACTCAGCTCAGAGCCATAGGAGGTAGGTGGGCTCAGCCTGGTCAGAGGGGAACTCACCAGCGAAGGCACGGTGAACATCTGCACCGACAGGTCAGTGATGGAGAACTCACGGTCGTGGTCGTCTCTGATGTAGTCGCTCTGCAAGCGTTCATAGTTCTACGAGCGGGAGGGGGTGGGGGGGAAACAGAGAGACAGCGGTTGTGGGGGTGCAGAAGAAGAAGAACAGTACTCACCAGGGAGGGGACGGTGAAGAGCTGCACTGACAACGACGTCACTGACACCACTCTCTCATGATCATCCTCCATAAAATCTGTCTGCAGCCGTCTGTAGTTCTAGAGTGGAGGACACGTCACTTCTGGGTCAGTGGTCAGACCCATGCTGCCCATAACGCCCCTCCCTCTAAGTAACCATTCTTCCCTTTTAAAGATGGTGACCAATCAGAGCTAGGCTAACATTGGAGCGTACCTCCCCTGAAGAACCCTGGGTCAGCTCAGATAAAGATGTCCTGCAGGGGACAGCAGAGTCTTCCTGAAGCGCTGATCTGCAGCTTGGACAGAGATCCTTTCCTCACAGAACGCCCAGAAAACTGGTAGAGGAAGCAGATCCAGCAGGTTCCCTAACCCCCAGTCTACCACCACAGTCCAGGTTCTGAGTCTTTGGCCCACATTCTGGAGGAGAACAGTTCCTGAAGACTTACTCAGGACTGATCACCCCCAGCAGCCACTGACACCACTGTTGGGTCAGTGGCTGCTCAACACAGAACAGGGATTGTCTGACTGGACCAGAACCAGACCAGAACTCTATCTTATCTGGATGTGGTCTGTATGTAAACCCTAATCCTGACATGGTTCTGATTCTGAATCTGGGTCTAAGAACTAAATTTAAATTTAAAAACCTGAACCCCAGATGGGGAACTGGATTC